CACGTCCCACTGGTAGAAGGCCCCAGGGCAGACCCAGAACATGCTGGAGAGATTATATATCTCATCTGGCCTGGTAACGCGTTTGGGCCCCTGGGGAGAAGCTGGAAAGCGTTGCTGGAGAGAGGGACGTCTGGGGTGCTTTGCTTGGCCTGCTGCCCCTGTGACCCGGTCCCTGATAAGCGGATGAAAATGGATGGGTGGATGGATGTATTATTTCCACTTCTTACTCACCATTGGTTTAGGCATCTCACAACAGAACAGCACTGTTGAATTTCAGCCTTCATGCCCATTTTATCAGCCTGACATTGTTGAAACAGAGCAGCTAATATTGCAATTGCGAGAGCAACAAGTTTTATGTATAAGCCTTTATTGCATGTAACGTAACAAGCTGTCGTCAACTTGAATAATGCTCCCTTCACCTGTTCACTCTCCTGTGCTCCGCTCCATGGCCGGCCCTTCAAGGCAGTGGTAAGGAAACCCTACTCACCTTAGCTAACCTGCATCCAATACGGTCATGCTCTGCAGTTATCTGAAGGGACTATGATAACACTGGCACCCTCATTGCATTGCTTCAAAAGAGGCCACCCCAAACACAAGTTATTTCTGAATGAATGGATGTTTGGGTTGTTGTTTTTTTTTCATTAAAAATTGATTTTTTTCTTTGGCCTGTCTGGTTGGCATGGTAGCCTGTCAGGCCTCTAGGTGAAACACTAGTCAGATAACCAAAGTCAGTATAATTTATCCTCTGGGGACCATACATGTCTTTACAGAATTTCACAGCAGTCCATCCAAAGGTATAAGTTTTGTTTCAATCTATCTCTTTTAAACACCAATTTGTACCTTTTTTGCATTAATTTATGGTGTCTTTAATTTGTCAAAATAAAAGACCTCTGCTACTTTCACGCTTTTATCGGAAGGGACAAATCCACATGTTAAATATTAACAAAAATATTGAGGGGGGCGTGCCCCCTGTGTCCCCCCTGAAATCTACACCCATGAGTCCATCTAATAGTAGTTTAGATATCAAGACAAAGGGTTACTGAATGACTGATCGACACTGCCATCCCTCTCGAGCAACTCTCAACCAACATAGTGAGTTTGGCTGCTCGGCGTTTAAATGATTTGTTCCTCCCAAATCAAAACTGAATAATAACCAATCATTGTGAAAAGCATATTGTAAGTTTGCTGGTTTCTGGCTTTTGACATATTGCTGTTCAGCAGCTCTCTCCAGTCTCGGATGTTGATTATGCAACTGTAACAGAAAAATGTGGGCTAAGTAACGGCTGTGATTGATTACCTCTCTTAGGTTTCGAGTCTCTGGAAGTTGATTTTATACTCTACTGACACAATCTTAAACTAATGGCTGTCTGGAACGTGTAAATCACAAAAAGCCAATAAGTTATGATGTTTTCAGCAGTGATGTAAAGCATACACAATTTGCAGTTAATGGGCTAAAACATGCAAAACCACCTGAATAATCCTTGAGGTCACTGCTGACATTTGGATTGGCTTCATTATACAACTGGAAAGATTAACGAATGCAAACATTCGGTTCCAATGTGAGGGGCTCTCTAGAAAAGACGCTAACCATTGCCAAGGCGGTCCTGCCAGCTTTTCACTGAAGCAATCTAATTATAGAGACTCTGGCAAACTATCTTTAATGATGCAATGGCTGCTAACTAAAAACGTTCTCCTGTGTCTCTCTCTGCTCTCGACTCTGCCTCTCTCTTGTCAGTTGTGTTTTGTTGTGCGGGACAGAAACAGCAGCTGCTCATATTCATTAGTGCTGCGTATGGATTAGCCGAAACAAATGTGAGAGTGTAGATTGGGCTCCACACTGTGCTGCCTCCTTCAGAACACAGCAGGTCCTTCTGCCTCACTCTGAGTACTAACCACAGCTGTTCAACACCACTTGACTTTTCCAACAACAATGTTCTCAGATGGCTGTGGCCACTTTTGTTACTGCTCACCATGAGCATTTATCTTCTCCTGTTTTATGAAGTCTCCATCTCTCTGTGGTGTGTTGGATAAAAGGTTGTTTCCCCCCTTTCATTGAAAAAACGGTGATGAGACACTGTTGTCAATAATGTTTGTTGATATCATGGTGGTTGTCATGGTGATTTGTGGCCCCAGTCATTCGATTCTCAGCTCTGATTTTGCACACGCAGCTTAGTCCAGTAAGCCCCATATTTCAGCTTTTTGTCATCTGGCATACTTGCACACATACTTACTCATCTGGACAACTTGGGTGTTTTTTCTGCAAAGAAAAAAAAATGATGTCAGACTCCCTTTCTCTCCCCACTCGGAACACATGCACCGTGTATCGGTTGCGTTGTGTCTCCCGTTCAGGACAGCTGCACTGGCTGGCTATCCCCTCTCTGTGCCCACATACGCGCCCCACGGACCCATGCATACACACACCACACGAGGCCATAAGTCACCCTCTCTACACCACCTCCCAAACACACACACTTGTACCCATGTCATCGCTGCTCTTGTTCCACCGTCTCCGCCCTGTTGTGGCTGAGCTAACTCCACTATTCACTCTGTTTCCATACATTCCCCCTCCCTGACTCCCTCGACGACTCCCCCTCCCTCCGATCTTCTGTCACTACAGCTGTGTGTCAGCTGTCGGCCTGTCCCAGTCTAGTCAGAGATGAAGCCGAAACACAGAGGGTCTACAGGGAAGACAGCCTGGCCTCTCTGTCTCTCCCAGCTGTCACTCCTACTTCAGACTTCCACTTATCACAAGGTTTCTTTACTCCCTCTTGCTTCACCACTGGAAGTCTTCCTCAAACACGTCTTAAAAATAAAATATACACGAGGGATGAAGCAATGAAATGTGCTTATTTTCTCTGTATGATTCACATATTCGACATCACATATATAGTCGTTTCAAAAACATTGTAGGTCTACTCTCAGTTGCCAGTGTATTACTGTGTTACATTATACTGAGGTGTTCCTAAGATTTGTCTCCACCTCATTAATATGAGGGCAGTCTAAGTATTAGAAACACCTCTCTGTACAATGCAATATAAACTACATCCTCCAAATTGATCATAAAGTTGAATCAACACCTCTCTTCAACTGTTTAAACAAAAACTGAATAGTATAGCTCTCATGAAGAGATATTGTATGACTGTTGTTTTAGGACCCTGACACACCAAGCCGACGGTCGTCCGTTGGTCGGTGTCGGGCTGTCTGTCAGTAGCGTCTGTTGCCCTAGTTTTTGCAGTGTTTCACATACTGTTGGTACTTGTTGGCCCTTGTCGCCTGTTTTTTGGCCAATTCAGAATATTGAATCAGCATCTGAGCCGGTGGAGCCCGTTGGTAAATGAAATCTGTCTGAGAAACAGAAGAAATCAAACAAACAACTAAAGTCAAGAGGGCATGAGATCGAAACAAACTTGTTATATAAGGTAAGATTATGTTTTGGCCATTGAGATCTTTAGCTGAAACAGTTTGTAATTGTTTCTGTCATTGTTCACTAGCATACGGTAAATTTCATTTGTTATTTCAACATCGGGTTGCGTTGTCAATGTGCAAACTGGCTAACTAGCTTCCTGAATCTGTCCTATCAGTCTTCTGGTTCCCCATTTTGAATAATGAATACAGACTACCACTGTCTGCTGGTATTGAGAGTTATTCCCTCTCACACAGGCTCAGAACGTACATGCTAGTCAGCCATTGGCTGTAGTCTTTGTGGTGTGTTCAAGTGCAACTGTTTGGCCAAGATGCAGGCACCTGTAGGTGACCATAGACTGTATAAACTAATGGACGTAGCTACCCAGTGGTTTGTGGACCGCTGTTTTGAAGTCATCTTGATTTTTTTGGAGCCAGAAGTCACCATATTTGTACAAGAGTGTGGAGTTGTGGTGGAACAAGGGGTGGATCTGTTTTATAGATTGTAGTGACACCTCACAGTCAAGCGGCCCCCCCATTGAATATACGTAACTTTAAGCGTTAATAACCTTTAAACAAGTGAGTTATAAAAAAAGTCACCCTTGGACAGTTTTCATAAATGCTGAAATTAGCTATAGAGACCAACACTGTTTTTTGCATCAGGCTTTTTGGCACTTCTGCATTAGCTTCATTTTTCAGCCTTGGAGGATGACGCTTTGAGGCAATGCAACAGTCTGCCTTTCTCACTACTATTCCTTAATGTCAGTTTGGTGTGTCTGGGCTTTTAGACTGCATTTGGCTAGATGTACCTAATAAACTGGTAACTGAGGTGTTTTTAAGCTTTCAAGAACTCACGCAACAACACATATAAATTGTCCGTGATATGACATCATGAGCAACTCATTTACCTTGCACTATGCAATTAAAGACTTTATTTGCATCCCCATTAACGCAAAATATTTTGACATTTGTCGTCTCTCACTTAGTGGCTTTCATTTCTCCAAGCTTACAGCTTCATCTGTTTGTTAGTTATTCCAAACAAGCATCTCCGACCGGGTGCTCCACATATGCTCTGCAATATTAAGGGAAAGTGGGTTTGAAATCAGTTTCAAATACAAGAGGAATAAAAATTCTGTGGGAGTAAAAGGGGCCGGCTAATTATACCATCTTCAATTACCAAGCTGCTTGTACCCTTTCTGAAGAAAGTATTATTGTATCACGGCATTCTGCTGCCAGAGAGAAAAACAAATTAGTGTGTGAAAGTGGCCTTTGTTATATGGCTTTGTGCTTGCTCCTCTGGGGTTTGGGCCATTGCCTGAGCTCAGAATGCAAAACGCAGAGAAACAAACGACTGCGAGACATGCTGCGCGCTTTAGACTGTGAGGATTTGATCGAGGGAGTTTGGTTATCGACAGTGATGGTGAGCCTGTGAACTCAGCAGCTTCAGGCTAGAGCTGTATGTGTGCATGCGTAATGTATGTGGGCGTGAAAATATAAATATTTCATTTTAATATGTGGTTTCATGGTGTTTGGTGCAGTTTCAACAAGACAAGAATCCTAAAGTGGATGCAATTATAATTTTTTTTTTTCTACGACAGGTATGCCTGTGGACATCAGTGTGTCCCCGGACAGGTAACCAGGTGTGTTGCTGCCGTCATGGCCTTGCCAAACCTGCGGCTGTTTCCTGTCACTGTGATCACAGTCCTGGTGGCGCTGGTGTCGTCTTCAGGAGACCATGAGTGGCACTTTAACCCAGGTAGGATGACGTGTACACACATAAAACAAAGAGACATCTAAATTGGTGATGGTTAAATTGCTCCCCACACTCTGGGTTTTTGTTTTTTTGACTGTTGTTTTCCCCCTCAAAAAATCGGCTTCACTTGAAACAGCTTGGCAGTTGGCAAATTTCAAGGTTGTTTTTTATTCCCACAACCTCAGACATGATTGCATTTCCAAGCCCTCACCCTCCTCTTCCCCTCTCCTCCTCATGTGCACGGGCGCAGCAATCGTCCTTCCTGCTGCTCTGACATTCTCCTCACATTCTCAGATCAGTAAGGCTCATTCTCCGTCTGCTATCAACAGGCTATCCTGTGTCCTCTCCCTGTCTGCCAGCCAGTCGTGTGTAATAGGAGAATCAGATGGCCAGGCGGACCAGAACCCCCCCCCCCCCCCCCCCCCCCCCCCCCCCCCCCCCCCGCAGCTTGTCAAGACCGCTAATGCACAGGCAGCTCATGAAAGTGTCAGTCAAAATGTCGGGCAAGGGAGTGCATGAGGGGTTAGTGAATGAGAGCCAACTCAGGTGTAACCAGAGGAGACTGTTTGCAGTGCAGTCCACCTTCTGACTGCAACAGCTAGAATGTGAATGAGACTAAGGCTGCAGAGTATTGATTATTATTTTAATTATGTGTCAATTATTTTTTTATTCATCGCTTAGCCTAAAAAGTCCATACATTTGAGAAACTGGATCCATCGTATGGTTTGAATTTTTGCTTTATAAATGACTCAAATGATTAATAGATTGTGTTCATTAGAGCTAAAACAATGAGTTCAATAACCAAAGTCAAAACATCGATACACATCATCTTTAAATTATGCCTTTAATTTGAAAGCCCCATGGCATGTCTGTCACCATTTCTGTCCAAGCACACCTCCTTCCTAAACAGACGCAAATACTTTTGAAATTGGTGAAACCTGATGAGAGAAAACAGAGAAAAGGGGCTGTGGCATTTGCATAAACATAATGCAAGCTTGGCCATTTTAACGCAGGAAACAATATGGCAGCCAGCGGGTAACAAACAATCTCTAATTACAGGTAAACGGTGAGCTAAAATATGTTTCTCAAAGCATTCAAGGCACTTTTGCACCCACTTCCTGTTCACAAATTCTCGTACTACAGCCAAACAGTGCACAAAGATATGTTTCTGAAGATATTTTAGGTGAGAAAAGGACAATAACAGAAGCTTGGTTCATATTTGCTCAGCGCAAACTGGTTTTACCATTTGATCTGAGTTTGATTTGCATTTTAGAGACAGAGAGAAAGCCGTCTCTCTCTGTCTCACCGGCTTTGTTGTCTTTGTGTCTGTAGTGGCAGGCATACAAAAATGTGGAACTACAATCTGGCATGCTAGCAGCGTAGCTGTTGTGATGGCGATATTGTCTGTTGAACGTCTAACTGATTTATCGAGAAATCATGTTGCAGTAAATGAATCCAGAGTTTGTAGCTAGATTGATGGAAAAGCGGGAGATGGATGAACAGACTGTGTCACAACAACACGCAGACACAAACACATGCTTTGTTCTGTTGAAACAACAGAATCAATCTTGATGGTGTGAGCAGGAAGGTTAAGTGCGTGGGCTAAAGTTTTATGAAAGATGACAAGAAGAGAAGGTGAAAGCAGAGGACACAGAGAGAAGGATGGAGATGGAGAGGTGGGACGATTGCAGATAGCGGGCTGCTGAGTGACGATGTGTGATGATGGTGATGTAATAAAATGGGCACCTGTCTGCAGTGCCTGGATGAAGTGTGTGTGTGTGTGTGTGTGTGTGTGTGTGTGTGTGTGTGTGTCTGCTGCACTCGTTGGGGTTTTTAGGGTTTGTCATTCAGCCCAACATTCCTGTCCGCTGACTCAATGACAGAAACTGAGTTAGATGCTCACCCCACTCCCGCCTCTTTCTGTCACCCTCAGCCTCCGCTTCATATCACTGTCAGTACCCCTTTCCACTCTATCACTACTCGAACCCTCCCTCAGCCTCATACCCCCACCCCCTCCACCCTCTCCTCCTGATGACTGACTTCAGAGCAGATAGCTGGGTCGTTGGGTAATCCCTGCCTGGGACCATGCTATCTGGATCATTTGATAATGCTGCTGCTGGATGGGAGTCAGCGCAGATATCTGAGACCTGCCTGTGTTCTTTCATTCGCCCTTGGTTTCTCCCTCTCTTTTGTTCTCCTCTTGCAAATCCCCTAGCAGTGGTAACAGGAACGGGGACTGCGCAGGATCGCTGGAGCCCCGAGGAGGTGGCTTTGTGTGGGATGGGGAACCAGTCGGAAAGACAAGGAAAAAAGAAACAGGAAAGGTGTATTCTCAGAGAAGACAGGTCACAGTGTCTCACAGGGGCCACTGGATATGCTACTTTACAAATTAATTTTAATGACTGTCTTTGATGCTGTCACTTTTGACAGGACAGAGGGGATTTGCAGGAACAAGTGATGCAAAATACTGCCATTAGGTTTTACATGAACTCATTAGTACAGACTCTACCCTGAGAGGCTAAGAGCAGACAGGAACAATTTATCGTAGAGTTTGGTATTTTTTCCTCCCTCCTCTCTGTGTTTGTGTGGCTTATGAAGCATGAAGTCCGGAAGTTTTCCCAGAGATGACATAACAACATTATGGTCCGTGACCAATGATGGCTGCTGACACTCTAATGGAAATATTAAGTTTCCCTTAGACATGTGCTCCATACAGATGAGAATGTTGCTCATGTCTCCCTCTCTCCCACTTCCTCTTTATCTCCTGTCTCTTTCCCTCAATCTTCTCCCTGCAGCTCAGTGTCGTTACGCCCTGGGGATGGAGGATGGCACCATCCCAGACTCTGACATCACTGCCTCCAGCGCCTGGTCAGATTCCACTGAGGCCAAACATGGAAGGTGGGGAATGTGTGAGTGTGTCTGTGGCGTAGAAGGTTACTAATGACATTACTCTCACCACATGAATCAAGTGGCTTTCCCGTACTCTTCCTGTTCCTTACAGTCTAAAAACTGTAAATCTGCTCAAAGAGTAACTTAACACCAGGCTGATCACTGCTGTTCCGTTGCACCTGTAACCATACCCAACAGTGATGTCGTGAGGCACTGACACACCCTGGAGTACACATGTACGTCACAGCAGCAAATAAAGAAATTAAACCAAACCAACCATTTTCAGCTGATGATAACTTGATAGACTTTTGTTTTGTTATATTTAAGATGATATCTAATTGAGAAAACAATAGCATTTTTTAATGTATGTCATTTAGGAAATAATTTTCCTGCCATTTGTGGCAGTAATTCATTTCTTGTTCTGAGATTATGCAGTGCAGCTTTTTCAAGTCAGTTTGCAGTTAAAGTCTGGGTACAGCAAAATATACATGTGTCATGGGTTTGTCACACCACAGAAAAATGTGTCATCAACCACCCAGCCAAATTTGAATGATTAAAAAAATCCAAAGTATATTAAAGTATAATTAGGTTTTAAAAAACATGTAAAAGCGTGTCCACTGAAGAAGCTGAAATGAAGAACTAGCCGCTGTGATGTGACATAATCTTGTTAGCAGCTGATGACATAGCACAAAGCACATCTACACAGACGAGCCTAAGAATGAGCCACAATGCAGTGACAGCTTCTCGTTCAGCTGCTAATGTAAGCACAAAGCACACACCCACAGCAGTGAGCAGTAACTGCCAGGTAGTTGATTCAGGCTGAAAGACTGAAAGGTACGTCAGTGACGGCTGTTTAGCTTGTGTTTATTGTTACAAAGATGTTTATTTATGTAATTATTAGAATCAGAGAGCTTGTGGAATGTAGCAAACTCGGTGCTCACACACACTGGATACTAATGCTCCATGCTCTAATGATATTTTTTATATAGTGGGGGTGGGGTTATGTTAAGGATAACCCCAGTCCATCATTGAGCCATGATTTCAGGCCTGCCCAAATAATTCTGGACACAAAAATGGTGAAAAACTGTTACTACACAGTTTTTTCACATGTTTTTAATAAGTATTTCTAACATGTATAATGTATTTAAAAAGAAATCTCTGGTTTTACTTTACCCAGACTTTAAACTGCATTACCATGCAGTGAGAATACAACACTGACATAAATTAATGCAGCTTTGATATTCATCGTGATGGATGACACAACAGGGATGGGCAAATCGATACTGGGGGATCAATACTTAAGGTGGTACAAATTTATAAATACTGTACAAAAGGTGGGTGGCTGCATCACTTCCAAATGTCTTCAGTACTTTTGTATAATGTTTGTGCCAGATCAACCCTAAAATGTTCAGCTGGTCCGTGTCACGTGACTGTGGAAGCCTATGTGGCATCAGAACGTAGCGTGCAGCCACACATTTGCACACTTCTGCATCAAACATGTGAGTGAACAGCAGAAATGAAACAGCGGGGTGTGGTGCTGTATTTAAATATACAACAAGATGCACTGTTTGTGAAAACCCCATGCAGCAGTTTGTGTAAGCTAATAAGTATAGTTCTCTCTAAAAATGACCATTATTTTAAAAAAAATCACATACCCATTTTAGAAATTATCAGTATCTGTATTGTTATCATATTTAATTTAAAAAGTCTGGCATCACCAATCCCTATTGCACAACATACAATATTTAAACTGTACAGAAATGCAGTGTAAAAGTACATTCAGACTTCTAAAGCTGAGCATCATGGCTTGTAAAACACTTCGCTGTGATAGCAAGTGTATATTATTGTTATATATGTTATGCACAGATGCAGCCCTTTAAATTTGGCTTGAACTCTTGCAGTCAATTTTTTAGAAAGTTTCTTATAAAGAAATTATAATCGCTACTCTGTGTTGGTTGATACTCGATAGGATCTATTTCACAACTTGGCCCCTCTGAACTACCACCCACATGTCTGGTTTGTTTAGTGATGCATACACAGCAAAATATGTAATGTGACTAACTAACTTACTGTACTTCAGGGCTTATGTGATCTACATCTGCTCGAGTCAAAATTTAAGTACCAGCAGTGGAATAACATACTGTATTCTAGTACAGGAACAGATGCACATGTGATAGTGGACTAATGTGTTTGTCTGCATGCCTTTTTTCAGTCTGTTGGCACCACGCTTAGGTCATTTGTCCGAGGTCTATTAGATTATGAAAGAAGATGATAGAGTGTGTCTTTGTAAAACCCACTCTGTAATTGTATTACCACCTTGTCTGTCTGGCAATGAGGTCAGATTCATGAGAGCCAAGTTAGGCCTGCAACACGCTAAAGCTGTGCGTCCTGGGCATTGTGTGTGTGCATGATTGTGTGCGTGTGTGTTCATTTGTCTCCATTGGTCTGTAAGGGCTGGGTCACTTGGCTGCGTGTCTAACCATGTGGAAATGATTATTAGCCTGAGCTCTTTTTTAAGAGGCATCGGGGAGACACCAAGAGAGAAAGAGAGAAAACAGTGGACATAAAAAAGAAAAAAAAGAAAACAAGTGAAAGGTAGATCACTGCGATGGTGTGCGGAGAGCTGCAGAGAAATTAATTTGGGAACAGGGTTTGAGGGAAGGTGTTGGGTGAAGGGTGGGATGCAGAGCTGGTAGGTATTTGTCTTTGTGGCTGTTGTTACTCGGAGGGAGTGAAATATCAGTATATTGCTGTGACGGAGTGGAGAAAAGTTGGAGGGGAAAAGAGAATTGAGAACAAGAGAAGAGGGATGAATGTTGGCTGGTATTTAGGTAGGAAGCAAAAGACAGAGAGAAATGGGAAAAAAATGAGGTACTTGGCAGAACTGCATGCTGTAATGTTAATCCTGCTGGCTGGCGCACGGTGGACTGAACTCTGCCCAGCCTCATTCCTCCTCTCTCCCTCCTCATCCTCCTCTCCCTCCATCACTTTGTGGAGCACTAATGTGTTGATATCATCTCGCGGTTTCCGGCTGCATGATCTCACCCACAGAGGGGACTGATTGAAATACACACTGTCAGTGTGACCGAGTTGATATAGTGATTTGTTTTGGCGGTCTGAGCTGCAGCTTTCATTTTGAGAGAAGCCCCACAGTGGTCAGAGCGTGGTTGTGGCCTGGCGTTTGTTCCCAAAACTCCTTGTACGAGTCGATCTGACATCACAGTCACACCAAGCCAAGTTTGTGGTCTAAATGTGGCCAATATGTGGTGGCAGTATGGAATTTTCTTCTCAGGCTGGATTGAGGAAGGTCACGCTGAGTGAAAATCTTTTTAGTTGGTCTTGTGTGTGGTCGTTGCAGGCTCAAGGAGCTGCGAGTAAAGATCAGCCCTGACATTCTGCACCAGATCTTATTGTGAGGTTTGAAGAGCTCGTAATTTTCGCTCTGCTCCTTTCATCTAATGTGTTCTCTGTATTTCCCTGCAGTCCCTCTCTCTCGGCTGCCTACTGTGCACCGTTAGGCAAAGCCAAGTTTCTCTGTTTAACACAACATTGCCCCATTTCTATGTGAATGCTGTGTTGCTGTGGAATCAATATGTACGGTGGTAGAGGAGGGTCGGACTGTTTGTATTGAATTCTCAGTTGTACGTCTGCGTGCTGCCGGCACTGTGGGTTTTGATGTAGTCAGACTTGTTGTGGGTGTGTTTGTATGTGTGCATGTGAATGTTTGGGTGTGGGACTGGGATTTAGTGAACTTTTCAGTTTTTATATAATTATTTAATACTTTTTGTAGGGAGTTATTTCTCATTTTGTTATCAAACATTTAAAAGCCTGTGTTTCTCTCAGGTTGAGTACTGGAGAGGGGGATGGAGCGTGGTGCCCTGCAGGAGCTGTTTTCCCCAGTGGAGCAGAATACCTTCAGGTCAGATTCTCACTTTACTCTGCTCTGAATTTCACACTAAGATTTGGAGTTAGTGCTCAGTACAATCGTGTTGTTTGTTTAAAGAGCATTTAATGTTTATTTCATGATTGTGAAGCCTAACATGTTGGTTAAATTATTGCAGTACAAATACATTCATTTAATGATTTCTTAATAACAGCTGTAATCAGCTCAAGACTGCTCTTCAGAGTGATTTTTTTACAGCTATTTTAAGTTGCTGGGAAATATACTTATTTGCTCTCTCGCTGGGAGCTAGATGAGAAGATAGATACTGTTCTCATATCTGCCCACTAAATATGAGGCTAGATCCAGGAGGCAATTAGAGATCCATAAGTCAACAAAAGAAAAAGCTGCGAAGCCCCTGGCTATTGGGCAGCTAGCAGCAAGCTCCCAGCAGGTCTGCACCTGAACTGAAACAACTTGAGCTTCAACAATGAACTCCCCCTGAGGAGTTTCTGCCTCTTGCTTTTGAACATGAAGCACCTCCTACAGACAAACCAAAGTTAGTGCATAATCAGTGAAGTTAAATATGAACAGTATCAGCTGTTTAGTTTGCACATATACAAATATATGAAAAGACAATAACAATTAGATATAAAAGTTTGAACATTGTGCAGGAGAGGTAGCCAAAAATAGCTCATTGAGATACCTTCCGTTAAATATCAGTTGCATAATTCATGTACAGTTTACACAGAAGTTAATGTTCTACAATGAAATCCATGCAGTGTTATTAATATTTGCTAATCAGAGTCCTTTTCAGATGTTTTTTTTTTTTTTTGAATAACAAAAACATCTCAAGATCCAATGTGTAGGATTTAGGGCATCTATTGGCAGAAATGTTATGTCATACTAATAACTAACTAACTATGTTTTCATTAATTTATCTTCACCTGAAATTGAAAATTGATGCGTTTTCATTGCCTTAGAATGAGCTCTTTATACCTACACACAGAGTGGAACCTCTTTCACAGAGCTTACTGTGTTACTTCTACGGTAGCCCAGACCGGACAAACCAAACACTGTCTCTAAATAGGACCATTTATGTTTTAACGTCGGCCACTGTAGTTCTCCTACAGGGTTAGCACATGGGAGAAGTTTCAGTTTTGCAACCCTATCACTTAAGATGACACCAAATGGACCTTTGTTTGACTATTCCCTTACTCCTCTCAAAATGGTACGGTCTGAGTTCCCTCTACTACTGTATAAAGCCCATTAGAAGCTCTCACTTCCTGTTTAGTGTTTGGACCCCTGAACAGCAGGTAATATGGATGGGAGGTCATTAAACAAACATTTGTTTGCTAGAAGTTGCATATTACCAATAAATATATTTGAATATCAAAAAACGAATTTAGTCTTAATTGAATTGTGAATGATGACAGTATTGCACACAGAAATCTGTTAGCACCCTATACCCACATGTGCTTATTATGCTAACTTGACTCAGCCACAGAGGCCTGGGCTACACAACTCAGTAACACAATCAGGAATACAGATCTATTGTGCCGGCAGGATAGAATAAATAATAGAAATGCAGAAACTCGAACTCTGGTCAGTGTGCAGCCCACTCATATAGCTACTCCTACTCTGTTCCTATAGTTTCTCAATCTCATCACTTTATCTTTATCTCCATCTGTTTGTATATATTTTAGTGAGCGACTTGTGTTTTCTGATAATGTATTTCTTGTCTCCTGCAGATAGATCTGCGCAAACTCCACTTCCTGGCTCTAGTTGGTACCCAGGGTCGTCATGCCGACGGGCACGGGCAGGAGTTTGCCCGCAGTTATCGGCTCCGCTATTCCAGAAACGGAGTGAAATGGATTACCTGGAAGGACCGCTGGGGCCAGGAAGTATGCGGGATCTTTTTGTTTTGTTAATTACAACAGAGCTGCAGCCCCCCGTCTCTTTCATGTGTACTGAAACAAAGGACGGTGACAAATCGAACATCATTAAACGAGCTTTGGGGGAATCAAGCAACATTAAGTTGCAGCTGAGTCTCCATTATTGATAGCATACAGCTCAATATCTGTTTAATATGAATAACATGTTAAACACAGAGGGCTGTAATATTTATCTGCATTTGATTTATTTATTATTTATTGGCAAGTGGAGCAGTTTGGCATCGAGCCAGCTAAACTTTGTCTGGAAGTAACTTTTCTACTCAGGCAAAAGCAGACTGCCTTTGTGTGTTAACAGCACTATGCAATGAATGTCTTACCTTGTGCACATAAAAGCATCTTTTCTTTGGTAAATGTCCAATATTTTTTCTTTGGTCATAAGTTCTGTATTTGGTTTTGTACTGCATTATAGCATGGGAATTTAGACCTCCAAAAGCCAGTGTTTCAGAGAAGGAATCAGGCTGTTTGTTTTCCCCTTTCAGTTATTATTTCAAATCATTGCCAAATGACTGTATTCACAAATTGCAAAGCCAATATAAATCTTTGGGTGTCGACTCCTCCTACAAAAACTGCCAGAGGCTCACTCTCCTAACTCAGTCCTTCTTTGAACCTTTGTGTATTAAAGAAAAAGTCACTTCATTTGAGCTCTTCTTAGATTAATCGAATTAAAAGACGCACACTGAATAAAAATGCAGAGCCCTCAGGCAAGGTTCATTCAACCCAGCAGATAACAGGGGAGACGAGCAATGTACTGTGTGATTGAATATTTGTACCTCTCTCCCCAAGGTGGTGTCAGGGAATGAGAATACCTATGATGTTGTGCTGAAAGATCTCGGCCCTCCCATCGTGGCCCGCATGGTGCGCTTCTACCCGCTGGCCGACCGGGTTATGAGTGTTTGCCTTCGGGTGGAGCTCTATGGCTGTGTGTGGAACGGTAAGTGTTTGTGTGGAGGGTGAGAGAGAGACATGAAGAGACTACAGAGATACAAAATATATTTGCTTTTATGGCTACTTAGGTATTCATTTGGTCTGTATATTCTGAGGCATGCCCTCCGGACTTTGATAAATCAGATCTTGTCTCATATGGTGAAGGTGACTCAGTTTGTCATCATGCTGGATTTACTCCTGTATTAGATTGTAAAAGAGGGATTTATTCGATGGTAATGACTATGAGTGTTTTCACCATACATCCCATGCATTGATTTGAGGCATTGTATCAAATTAACAAGCCTACTGTGGTTAGCCTGGATAAAAGAAGCAACACATTTATAAATGAAATTGGTCTCCATGTTCCCGAGGCGCAGCGCTGACTAGCTGAGTATTTATGACTAGCTCGCCTCCTCTCCTGCCCCATCCACCTCCCTCACACAGCGGCAGGCTGCCTGTAAATCAGAACTCTCACAGAGGCTAAAAGCCCCAGTTCGCGGTCTGTGTCTTCAGGGAGACCATCTTTCTAAAATATGCTTGAATGTGGAGTCAGTGCAGCTCAGTTCACCCTCAAGCCAGAGATTATACAGGATATACACAATGTCAAGTTTAACGCTCATTCGGCCTCTCATCTCATCTCATGTAAGATATTAAGTGAGGCTGACCCAAATGCTGTTAAGCCTTGAAGGTTTGATCGTTGCCATGGGAACCAGCGTGAAAATCAGTACTCAAAAGCTCAGTTTTTTTTATTTATATATATTTCTATGAATTATCTCAATTACCCCAAATAGCTGATAATTAAGAAGAAGTTATCCAACATATTTAGCCAACATAATTCATTATGATTCAACATTGATTATTTTTAGTTACTCTTAGACAAGGATATTTAAACCTAGTGATAGTTTTGTGACTTTGTGACATTGACTTATTCTTCATCTGACATCCGTCACCAGCAGTCTAATGCCACTGAAACTGGGACAGTTTGAACACCTGACAGGTTTACATATACATCAGCACAGTGTAAAAATCATCAAGCGTCTAGTTTCAAAATTTATGACGATGACCCCTGAAAATTGAGTGCTAGAAATATCAAAGGAAACTGGTGTGTCAAAAATCTACAATGAGCAGAGCAAATCACCTGAAAATTTTAAGTAACAGCTTAACCGTCTCGTAAAGTATTCTTTTTCCAGGCTATTATGGCTAATGTGTGACCTGCTAAGTGGTCAATTGTCACGGTATTTTAAGTGCATCGACTGTAAGCAGCAACCACTGAGGCTGAAAAATGAAACCAGTGCGGAAGTGCCAAAAACAGGTCAAATGGTCTCTTGAGGCTGGCTCCAAAATAGAGTAAATCACCACAGACACCCATGTTTGACTCTTCAGCAGAAATAAACATGTTTACAGCCTGGTACAAAAAAAAAAAAAAACGGTTTTGGTCTCTGTAGCTAATTTCAACATCCATGACAACTATATGGGGCAGAATAACTCACCTGTTTATGTTTTATTAAGGCTTAAAGGGCGGGGCTACTTGAGCCACAGGCTGTCTGTGAGGTGTCACATTAGTCTGAGAGTCAGATCCATGCCTCGGTTCTCCACAGCTCCAACCTCTTATTCAAATGTGGTCACTTCTGGCTCTAAAAAGAAACAAGATGGCGACGGCTGAAATGCTGAACTCGAGGCTTCAAAATGGCATTCCACAAACCAATGGGTGACATCACGCTTGCTACATCCATTAATTTATGTAGTCAGATGATCAGCTGATGTCCCCATTTCTCATTTTCCTCTGTTGAAGCTTTGATTAATTGCATATTTTTCTTACTGAAGCTTCGATGCCCAAAAACTGGTATTCGTTACAGCCTTAATATTATGGCACCACAGTGTCGTTCTTATGCTGACTGTTTTACATTCAGTTTGGACCTGCACTCTCTCACACACATCTAAGTGCATAATCACATCCACAGACAGAGCAAACAGAGCATACTGCACACGTACTGTAAATCCTAAGTGAAGCGTTGTTTATTATGGGTAGCAGAGCAGCGGGCTGTAGTCCGTGTTGCTGAAGTCACCTCTGTTCTCTGGGAGCGGGCTGATTAGCTGTATACTGGAGCGGAGAGGCTTGAGTTTCACTGGTTAATGGTGGCTGGGACCAAGCGGGCCCAAGGAGCGGACCTCTTGGTTTGTTTTACTACTTAAAAACCAGCTGTAGTTGTTTCCCCCATGGCAGTGATTACTGTTTAATGTTGGTTTAGTGAAAAAGAAAAAAGAAAAAGTGTAGCTGCACATGATGAAACTGAAAAGCTTCATATATTAAAACAGTTTCACATGCAGCTCGTGCATATCTCTTTCTTAAATAGAAAACTAAAAAATGTTTTGTTTTAGCAATCACAGAGCTAGTGTTGAATATTTTTACATATTTCTGTCACTCAGATGGGTTGAAGGCTTACACAGCTCCAGTGGGTCACGTCATGCACCTGTCTGGCATGCCTGTTTATCTGAACGACTCCACCTACGATGGGGGCTCTGAGCAAGGGTAAGATATTCAGTTGCTCCGGGCTTTTTTCTTTCTTTTTTTTCATTTCTATGTATGAGTAAGTATCTCATCTCCATACATTCCTACAAACTGCTCCTTTGGATCTTGTTTTCATGGAAATGCATAATGAAACAGACACAGCCTTTGGGTGTAAATTGCAACACTTCTTTTGCAAATGTGATCACAATAAACATTCAAGAGTGTTATGACCAACTATGTGGACTCATCAGTGGAATGTCAAAATCTTTTCTGCAGCGCTCACCACATCTGTTAGCACTGAAGTCTCAGCCAAATCTTTTCTTTTTTAATATATTTTTGGGGCATTTTTTAGCCTTTATTTGATAGGACAGACAAGTGTGAAAGGGGGAGAGAGAGGGAGTTACATGCCGCAAAGGGCCACAGGCTGGAGTCGAACCTGCCGCTGAACAAGGCCGCTGTACATGGGGCGCCTGCTCTACCACTAAGCCACCGACACCCCAGCCAAATCTTTTCTTGAAAGTTTGTTTCTGGTGTCCGCCTAATCGAAAGGGACTGCCTTCTTTTTTTTTTTTTTTTTTTTTTTAAGTTGCTCAGGGATTTGATGTGTTTCCTGGCTGTAATGTTCTGACAGGGAGCAAAGGAGGGGTGAACTAGGAATTGGTGGGGGGCCACACTTGCATGGGCTGTGTGGGTAATGGGGCTGAAATGTTTTGCTAGCGGGTGAGCTAAAACGTTTAATGTGATCCAGACGTATTTGTGGCAGATGTGTGTAGTTCGTGTGCGTGCCAGCTTGTTTGCAAATACATCTATGTATATATGCTTATTTATGCACCTTTGCATGCCAGTACGTGAATAAGTTTGTAAATATAAAGTGACAGACTGTCCACAGTGTCCAGTGTTATTTCTGCACAGGGCTACATGTTAAACCATACAGTGTTGTGTGTGTGCAGGATGCAGTTTGGAGGCTTGGGTCAGCTGTGTGACGGCGTCCTGGGAGGAGACGACTTCATACAAACCAAAGAGCTAAGGGTTTGGCCTGGGTATGACTACCTGGGCTGGAGCCGCGAAGCCCTTGGGCAAGGCAGCGTGGATATTGAGTTTGACTTTGAGAAACCACGTGTCTTCCACAACATGCAGGTAGGCAGTGAAAGCTGGGTTGATGCTGCATGTGTTGTTGTGCGCAAACAAATATGAGAGGGTTATCCAGGGCATTCTTATCCCACTGGAATCTCAGACAGCACGGAGCTGCCTGTAAATCAGAGATGTCATTGAGGCTGAAAGCCTCTGTTTCCGGTCTGTATCCTTAGGGATCTTTGTAAAATATGCTCTATTGTGTATTACAAGGCAACTCAGTTCATCCACAAGCCAGAGATCATGCTGAATCTACTGGATGTCAAGTTTTATGCACATCCAGTCTAACACCTAATCCTGTATCTGATCTGGTGACGGTATCTGTGTGTAAATGAATGTCTGTGCATTTTTGAGCAGGTCGAAACTCCAGCAACACTTAAAGCATGTAGAACAACTTAAAATTGTGCTATATACTACGACTGTTGCTGGAGTTTTGTCATTTTTAGACTGTTTCCTTTCTCCAGCTGGTGCATTGTGCCAGAAACCCCCACTCAACTTTTATGAGCACAATCACTCAAGACCATAAACTCGTCTTACTCCCACTGTACAAAAATGAAACCAAAATATCCCGGATATGGCTGCTGCCATCTTGTGCTGGTGACATAATTTGAGCCAGAGTCTGCAATAGCAGTCTCCATGGTATAGAGTTCCCGCACATACATCCATTTGAGCAATTGCAAACAATGCCATTGATCACGAGCACACTGACTGGCACACATGGCTCTCAATCATAGCGTCAGTCCCCCTTTTTGTAGCATCAGATAACTAGTTACAACCACAATAATGACCATTTGAACATATATCAGTGGATGAGAGCTACCTAAAATGACAGAAATCATTTTTGGGAAAGTTGTATTTGAAGTGTACTTTGTCCCATCTGCTAACATGGATGGGGCGGGGTTTATGACCTATATTGCAGCCAGCCACCAGGGGACCATCAAGACCTTTTTTCTTCACTTTTGGGGAGCTATCATGTCCTCCATCTATTATACAATGCTCAAGGCCCACTCAGCATCCTGCCAAGAACTTAAGCTCCATGTCATTCCCTTCTCTTCTCATTTTTCTTGTCTGTATCTAAACGGTCAACTATCCAATGAGCAAATTTGTGTTTTGGAGGATAGTGAATTCTTGATCTGCCCTACTCTATCTTATCTGCCTCTGATTGGCTTCCCCTAACCCTAACAAATCCCACTCCTCTTTACTAATCCTAGGAACGTCACTTTTGTTGTAACTGAAAAAGACAATACCTTAGCAAGCTAACTAAGCTAGCTTAATTAAGCTAACTGTGACACCCTACTGTCCAACAGAAAACAGGCCCCCTCCACATTGCTTTTCATCTTCATCCTCTCCCTCAGTGTTCACCAGGGGAAGTTAAAGTGAATGCCAATTCAAGAACAAGCTTTGTCTGCTTGCCATTTTGCCTTGCTATATTTGCAATTCTTTTGATGCTGTGTCTGAAGTTTTCGAAGCTTCATGTTGGATGGGTGCTGCTTATGGTCCGGTTGCTACCTTTTTATAAAGTCCAGGGGCTAAATGCATAAAACTCTGTGTAGATTCATGACTAAATCTGTGCGTAGGCACAACGGTAGAAATGTGCATCTGTAATATTTTTTTGTAAGATGTAAAAAGCTGTGTGTACAACTAAATCTGTTTTATAAATCTCGATCATTGTGGCTCTGGGTGCATGTGCATGGGTCTAATTTCCACCCACACAAACAGCTTTTTGCATATTGATACTTGTGCCTCTCCACCACTCATTAGACCTGTCAGTGAGGAATCTGGCAAAGAAAGTGTGGTTTCTCCAACTGTGATGCATTGTGAGGTTCTCTACTGGTGCCAGAGCTGCTGTCATTGCACACGACAGTCTTTATTTATAGTGTTCGTGCCATTAATTCATCACATTTCTGCAAACCATCGTCGCAGCAAATCTAAATCATCATTATTATTACATGGATGATCAATGATTCATTCGTGGGGCTCATGTTGAAACTGACTTTGCAAAGTGCAGCACAGATTTATCCCTCATTAGTTGTTTTAAATTAAATTTATAAATGCTCCTTTGATTGACATTTTACAGAGTGCTATGTAGACTGCAAAAATTGCAACCTAAAAACAATGTTATATATCTAAACTTGTGTACAACTGATTTGAAGGATGTATGAGGTGTGCACATTCTTACGGCAAATTTCTCTTTAATTAATACCAGTTTTTTTGTGCATACACATCTGACCAATGACCTCACCAGCACACTGTTACTAGCTCGGGGCTACACACCAATGTCCAAAGGTTGCAGCCCAGGAACGTCATGAACACAGCAAAATAAAAAAAAAAAATTAAGAAAATCCAGGCAGAGGGCAGAGACTCAGCAGATAACTACACCACCACACACTTCAAGTGGGTGATTGAGAGGGATTACATTTGTATAAGTCTATACATTGTTTTTTTTCTTTTAGGAAAATCCTACATAGTGTGCCTTTAATGAGAAAGAACAGCACACAATACAAGCTTTACAGATTCACGGGATGCTCCCTCTTTCGAGGAGATGATTAAATTTCAGAGCACCTTGAGGCATAAATCTAAATATTAAAGAAGTAAAAGGGATTTAATTTAACTTTTTTATAAGTCCTTAATGTTTTAAAATGAGATCCCATAAATGATTCTCATGTGGTATGTGAAGAAAAGTAAGCAGACAAAGAGCAGTTTGTTAATTAATACCTAGATTTGGTTAATTAATTACCTCATTATCACAATACAAGCATGTCATTGTGTTTGTGGCAGGACATCAGGCTGATTGTTTCTTTTTGCATCTGATGAAACTCCTCAGCAGTCCTTGCAGCTCTAATCAGTACGACCTCTAAAACAAACTCCCAACAGCAGAGTTATGTGTCTGCCATCCCACCAGGAAAGCAGCACTTTGACCAGAATAGCTCCGCAGCCATTTAATTAGTTTTAATGCGCCATTGTTTATCATGGGACAGCGCATCTGTGCTCAGCTCTAAGGGTGCCACCGAGTTGCATCACAGACTGTTTGTGCGTCTGTGTGGCTTTTGGGGTTAGTTTGTGGAGCAAGAGGGGGGGATGATAATATGAAGCAACCCGGTTTGAGTTATAACTGTGTTGTCTCATTGGACGCCGGTTGGAATGTCGGTTTGGGAGGGATTCACCCTATACATGTGCATACTGAACAGCACGAATCCCCAGTCAGTGTTAAAAAGTGACAAGTAATCTTTTAGAGGTTTCGTTTTGACTAGGATCCAAAATATCTGGATGTTGTCGCTCCGCTTTTTTTTCTTTCACATATTTATTATTATTCTAGTGTTTCTCAGTTACCTTCTTAAAATCTTTCCCAGTGGTATTCCCTGTGTTTTTCTTACCCTTATCCTGTTTTCCTGCCTTCTCCCCAGTGGTTTTCCCTCACTAACCTCAGCTGACATACGTCGTTATGCTGGCCTGGCAGAGCGGATATGTCAGACACACAGGTCAAATAAATAAAGAGTGGGAACCTGAACCTAATTCTGGTTCGACTTGTCTCTGTGGTTCCTTAACCTGCACCTAATCACTCTCCCAAAGGGAAATCTGCTCTTTGACCTTTTGCCAGTCATAACCTACATTTCCTACAGGATCTTTAATACACTCTGATTTTCCTTTGTAAAGCTCCAGCTCTGTCTTTGGGGGAATTTATGTAAATCTTTCCTCTGTAAGCTCATGTGGAAGACGGGCAACGAAACAAAAAGATCAGAGCGAACTCGTGAATGTAGGTTAGATTTATGATGAAACAAGCGAAACATAATGAATGCAGTGTTATGCTCTCAAATTAAGCTTTGTGCAGGTCATTGGAGCTGTTTTCCCTAAAGGAGTAGTGAATTACTTTGGTTCTGTTGACTTATTAGACCCCCACTGCTACCACTAACATACAATACATACCCCCGCCCCCCCATTCTGTCGCCTTCCAGATAGAGTCAGTTACATGTCAACTCAGCATCTGGTGCAGCTGTTCTTCCTGCCTTTTGCATGTGTGTGTGCATTAACATGTGGATTAGGTTAGAGTGGCTGGCCTCGCGCTAAGTGTGAGGTTAATAGCTAACCTGTCAGAGCAGCCCTTCTCTCTGAGAGGAAAAAAACCTCCCACCATCTCCTCCTTACTTGTCTATCTCTCAGATCTATAGTTTTGACCTCTCGTTTGCTCATTCTAACGTCCTCCTCATTCTTCTCTTGTCTCCTGAAGCTCCTCTTCCTCCTTCCAGCCACAATGACGCTTCATATATTAGATCAGCTTTTATAGATTCTTCTTCTCTTCGGCCTTTCCCTGCTTGTAAAAATAGGAAAGATATATCATTTGCTCTCCTCCATCGGTCTTCTGTCATATACCTTCTTTTCTTGCATCCGTTCTTTCCCCCCTGTTTTCTAATTTTGTTAATTTGTAGTCGTGCTCAGCTCTAAAGTCGTGCCAAAGCAATTACAGTTGAACAGGATGAGGATGTGTCATTAATTTTGTGTGTTAACTGAATCTCTTCGCGCCTCTCCACAGGGAAATTGGGGCCTTAGCTATTCATTCATTATACTGAGTTTTTTCAGATATTTGCAGGAGGGTTGAGTTAATTTAGGTGTGTACATAATTAAAGGATTGCATCTTCACACCTGTCTTTTTTCTATTCCATTCTCTTCTGTCCTTTCTTTTAGGTGCACAGTAACAACCGTCATACTCAGGGCGTCCGAGTCTTCAGCAAGGTCGAGTGTCTTTTTAAGCCCGGCATCCTCCAGCAGTGGTCCCCCGAGCTCACTCTGCCCGTGCCCCTTGAGGATCTTAAAGACCCCTCCTCTCGACCCATCTCCCTCCCACTGGGTGGCCGGCTGGCTCAGATCCTCCGCTGCAAATTCCACTTTGCTGACCGCTGGCTGCTCATCAGCGAGATATCTTTCCTCTCTGGTAAGAAACAGGATTGAATGGATTAGTTTTTATGTCTCTGCACCAGTGGCAGAGGCATTAGGTGTTCAGGTTGTCTGTCTACTTATCCGTCCCGTTCTTGTGATCACGATATCTCAAGAACACCTCGAGGGAATATCCTCACATTTGGCACAAATGTCCGTTTGGACTCAACAATGAACCGATCAGATTTGAGTGGTTCAAAGGTCACTGTGACCTCACATAACTCAAGAATTCATATGCTAATTGTGACAAAATGTCACACAAATGTCTAACAGGATAAAATAATGAAGTGAAGACACTTAATATCCAAAATGGCAAAGGTCAGCTTCACAGTGACATCACAATGTTCTGCTAGAATACTTTTCTGGCTGTTTTTCAGTGTCTTAACTTCACATTTGTATTTGAAGCGCTGTCAACTGGACATGGCTACTATGAGTCTGGACAGACATTGATTCAAACTGCAGTTTGACTGATTGGTGGAGGCATATGTACATGTTTCTGTGGCTCTGACAGTTTTTCTTTCACAGAGGCTTTGCACATATCCTAGCAACTATGCCTGGCACTGTCCAGCAGAGATTTGGCTGTGCCCAAACAATACCTAAATACAGACAATGGGAAAATAGACACTTGAAAAAGATTGTTGTGATGTGGGTATAAGTCCAGTCAGCATTCTGGAAATGCTGATTAAATGTCAAGTGGAGTGACACTCAATAATCTGATGAGCTTGGTTTGTTTCTGGACTTACTGTGACAGAATCACAAGCAGAATAAAGTTTTTGTCCTTGCTGTGTGCTTATTATTGATTTTAAGGTATCACATATTTTACAGCTAAGGACCTTGTCCAGACTCTGGCCGGGATCCAACTGAAAAATAATGCTGCTGTGCTCAACAAAAAACATTAGGAAGGGGCTACGCTGAACATAGATGTTCTAGGAGTTATTTTATACCATCCTTATTAATTTTAAAGTTTATCAGAACCATAAATTTGAAATTACCTATTTTTGTGTTGTCTTATCTTCTCTATCTCTACCTTTTTATGGGCTGAAACAGATCCACGCAACAAACATAAAGGTGGTTTCGATATCTTCAGCAAAGACAGGATTTATGCGTATCTGATTAGAAGTCAGATAGAGGACTTGTCTGCTGCTCCTCCAACTGAGATTGTAGTGACTAATTAAACTGTCCCGTCTACTCAAAAAGGCTGTCAGTTTTAGCGTGATAAGAATCAGTAAAGTGCTCAGTAATCACACCGGACTCAGGTAGCTAAAATGAAGTGACCCAGAGGTGGCACGTCTGGGTGCTGGGCTCGTGCCAGACTGATAATAAATGACAAGCAAGAGCTGTTGCACCAGTAGCCACATCAGTACGCTTTGTCACAACACGGGCAGAAAGCCAGTGTTAGGGCTTCAAACTGGAGGCTACACCTCCACAACTACCAAATGTTACACAAGGCTCTCATATGGGACCGAGCTAATTTATGTTTGCTCCTCTAATACCAGATTGTGGTCAACTTTTAGCAACAATTGCATTACATATATCCATGGATTGCTCAGTAGCCTACGCCCTTGGTGCACCTTACAATACTATTCAAGTGCACAGGATAATCCACACATTATTTATACACTCAATGTTCCACTCATTATTTCGGTTGTTGCCCAAACAACACAGATATACAGGTGCTAGTATGTGGTGGAGGATGTCATCTCATCCCACTGCGCATGGCATCTGGGATCAGCGCTGATACGCACACAGTAGCACAGCCTCTGATTCATAGACAGACTCAGCCCAGTGTATCATCGGATACATCTTGTGCTCTGTAGACTTCAGCTAGTGACTAAAAACAACATGAACCCATTCCAGTGTGAATAAATGGATAAATAATCTCAGAAGACATTCAGTTTTGGATTTATTAGTTTTATAAAGCCAAAAAAAAAACACTGCTGTTCCATGCAGGATTGCAAAGTTTCTGAAACGAATACGATTGTACTACAATTTGGGAAGCTACAGTGGTTAGCGGTACAGCTATTCAAAATCATTTTCAAGATTACAGCACTCCGGCGATATTTTAATAGAGTGCTTTAATGTTGTATGCAACATCAACAGCCTCAGCGGGTTGATGATGATTATAAATTATGTGGTATCGGACTAGTACATGGACTTGAGTCCTCATCAATACCCGATCCAGCATTTTAGGCGGCATCTTAGGCATTTCAGATACTTGCATCAGTATGAGAACAACCCTAGATGTTGCTATTAATTACACAAAAACAAAACAGTGATTGTTAGTTGGCCAGTTGATTTAGGTTTGCCAAGATAACAGTTTGTCAATACACAATCATTCAGATTAACCAATAAGAAATGCAATGAGTCAAAACAACATATTTAACATAATCTTCTGAGATGAATACTGAAACACAACCAGCTGTGACCACATCCACTGTTTCCCAACAGCCGAGGACATTCAGACAGTATGTTGTGCCATATAAAAGCCTCTAAACATATAAAACATGATTCATTTTCATTAAACTGTCTTCCTCTTTTCCTCCTTATCCAGAGCCGTTTGAGGAAGACGTCACAGACACTGATTCATTTCTTCCTAATCTTCCCAAGATTCCCACCACCAGCTCCTCTCCTCCTCCCGTCAACCACACCTCCTCCTCTCCCACGTCGAGCCACAGCTCCTCCAACACCACCACCACCACCAGCCCATCTGGTGAGTCCTGCTGTTCCTCCTCTTCCTCTTTATCCTCCTTCTCTCCACCCTCCAAATCTTTGTGTATTTACCATCCATCTTTACACCAGCCATTCTTTCTCAGTTGTCCCCTTTTCATCACCCATCATACTGCTTCAACTACATTACTGCTCTCTAATTCCCCTGATCTCTCCCTCATCACCTCTAGTCTCTGCGCTCGTCTTTTTCTCCGCAGTTGTGTTGAGTGTGAGCATGTCAGCAGTGTGTCTAAGCCATGTGTCTAAAGGAGAGCCAAAGGCAGGCAGTGCCAAAGGAGGCCCATGTCTGACTCGCCTCTCTCTTTATCACAAGTTCTGAAATCCTTTGGCCTTGAGCCAAACATTTGCTGAACCTAAGTCAGCACTGGATGCTTATCTTATACTTTTCATTGTACTTAAAGGGTAGGAGAAATCTGGCTTAAAATTAAAGGTCAAATGTTTTAATTTGAAATACTTAAGTTTTTCCGTATTTCTGTCTGGCTTTAAAAAAGTTGCTTTGAACTTTGAGTGATTTTCATTTACATGGATGAGACGCCAAATGAGCCCGAATCCTGCTATCCATGATTTCCTCTCCTCATCACCCTCTTCTGAGTCTTCACCACCTTTCTTCTCACACATTCCTCCTTTGTTCATCCCTCGCTCCTCCAGAACCCCCCACCACCACCTCCTTCATGACGGACACCACTGGTAACTGGACGCTGTCAGGTGAGAGCGCAAAAAAAAAAAAAAAAAAAAAAAACACAGAGAGGATGAACAGAGGGACAGGAGCTAGCTCCATCCGTTCTGGCCCTCATCCAGCATCTTAAACTGTCCCTCTGCTCAGTAGAGAGTATGAAGTATAATGATGGAGGGAATGCAGGGGCAGGCTTTGGCACTGGGCTCTGTCCCCAGGGTTTGAAGATATACAGCTGTAGGAAGAACACTAACAGCTATAGTACATTATATTTATGTACAATAACAACTTGGCTTCCTGCGGTCTCACAAACTGCATGTGTATTTTCGGGGAACTGGCTCTGTTCTACACAGCTAAACAATACCAGGCATTTTAAAAGCTGGAAATGGTTTTCTGTGGCGTGTATGCTGCTTTGTCCTTGTTACTGGCTGTGGTTGAACGGCTTTGTTTGGGTTTATTTATTACCCGCATGTTGTTGAACTGACAGAGTGAGAGAGTGAGAGAAAGCGGGTTGTTTTCTGTTGTGACAATGTGGTGTGTAAATCTTTGGCTTGTAAATGTGTGGGTGAGTGTGTGCTTGCAGGTGTATATTTGTGTATGCACATAAAAGCATCATATATGGTGTGTGCCTGTTTTTTAAGTCTTTTTAACTGAGCTATTTGTCTCACTTTTTCTGTTAAAGTGGTTTTAAGAGTTTAGCGCAGTTCCATCCCTCATTCAAATAGCATGCCACATTTGACCTTCAAGGGAGGAATAAAAAATAACCGGATGATTCGGATTAACATTTAACTACAAAGGCGAAGCAAAACAGTGTTTGCATTCTGTTCTCAAAGCAGCAGGCAATGAGCCCTGTGGTACGAGCGGGCGTACTGGATGCATACAAACACAGACAACCCTCATCAGATGTTTAGTAGGCTTGATGAAAGCATGTTGGTGTGTGTGACCCTAGTGAGTGCGTGACTGTGCTGAAAGAGATAATGCACACAGACTGAGCATTGCATTAACTCATCCCAACATAGTCGTCTCCACACACCACATCAGACCTGCAAATAACACCAGGTTTCAGATAATTGAGCTTGTACTATTACAAATATCTAACATTTCCACCTGTTTTTTTTTTTTTTTTTATTCATCCAGACGCAGAATTTGGTGCCAACACTCCGAGGGCGGGGCTTCCTGTAGCCAAGGATGACAGCAGTAATACAGCTATTCTGATTGGCTGTCTGGTGGGCATCATCCTGCTGCTGCTGGCTGTGATAGCTGTCATTCTGTGGAGGCAGTACTGGAAAAAGATACTGGGCAAGGTGAGTCATTGATTCGTCACGTCTTGCCTGTCGCTGACTGATAAAATCATGTTTTCGTTCACTGATACATATTCTCATTGGCGACATTGGTTTCCCTTAACACCCAAATAAACAACTTGCCTTCATGACTTGGCATAAGATAAGACCCTATTTTATAAAAGAACATTTTCCATCCAGCACGGTTTGTTGGGTGTGAGGTGTGTTTATAGGTTTGTATGTGTTTGTAGGTGTGGCAGCAACACTGTCCACAGCACTGAAAGGGAGTAGAGGACAGTGTTGCTGTGGACAGTGTTGCTGCCACAACACTGTCCACAGCACTGAAAGGGAGTAGAGGACTAACTTTGCTTCTTGCTTGCTCTCCGTGGTTGTAGACAGAACTGTCAGCTTTACATTTATACCAAAATAGGTTACATGTCATGATTTAATGGGAGAAACCAAGCAGTTCTACATTTGTGCTGAATTTACACACCACTGGCAGAATTTGTAAAAACTGGACTTTTTCTTTGTTTTTTTTAAATATGACTGATCATGCAGCTCACATACAATATGCTAGCAGCACCTAGACAAGCTTTAAAACCTCTTGAACAAAGTGGAGTGATCAGACCAAAACTGAATTTGATAATGATCAAAAACACAAGGCCAAGTCAACCCCTCAGTGGCTACAGCATCAAAAACTGAAAATTCTGGAGAGGCCATCACAGTCTCCTGACCTCAGTACCTTTGAGCCACTTTGGGGAGATCTGAAACGTGTGGTTAATGCAAGAATACCTAAGAATTTACAGGACCTGGAGGCTTTATGCCAAGAAGAATGGGCGGCTTTACCACCTGCTAAAATAAAAGGCTTTGTCAACAACTATTACAAAAGACTGCAAGCTGTCATTGATTCTGAAAGGGGCACTACACAGTGTTAGGAACTAAGGGTGTGCAAACCTTTGAACGGGGACTATCTCAGTTTTTCAGTTTTCTTTATTGCCATGTTTTGTTTAATGATTGTGCTGCTCTGCGATGCCTTACAGTTTAATTTGAATCCAATTAAATATAAAGGAAATGTGTTTAGCCTTGTCACTGATGTTTTCTTAAAGGAATGGTACACATCTCACAACTTTTGCCAGGGTATGTGAACTTATGAGCAGAACTGTATGTAAAATCACACCTTTAGCACCCCCATATAGCCCAGACGGAATAATACTTTGTTTTATAACCACGTTTTCAAGCAACTGCGACATTTTGACTGTGAGATCAGCAGTCGAATCAGGCTCCTCAGATTGAATCGTCAGTAGTCATCTATTCTGGGTCAGTCAGTCAAGATTGGGGTCACATGCAATGCCTTTCTTTATTTATTAAGCAGATGTTCCTATTTCAACTTGGTCGTACTCTTGGTTTTAGCATCTATCTCTGAGATGTCTCTTACCACCCTAGTACAATGGAGGTGAATTAAATTTTGTTTGTGTTGCTCAAAGCGCTACATCTTCTTGATTTACCAGAAACAATGTCTCCCTTACTCTGGATAAATTCATAGATCTCGCTGTTAACAGCTTTCACTTAAAGTACTTTCTACAGAAGAAATAAACCTAAGTGAGATAATGTTTTTCTTGTGTGATTAGGCAGAACTGTCCCTTTAACGAAGTTTAAATGATTGATATCAGGCTGAGATAACAACTGCAGGTCTTTTGGCAGAGTACCACTGGATCTCCATCTGGATGTGTTATGGGAATCCTTTTACATTTACTCCAAATTGTTCAAAGATTAGAGGCTGTTTCCCCAGTTTGATCACCATCTGCTTTAGGGATTGAAATGATGTTTTTATACTCAGTTGCCAGTTTATTAGATACAGGAAGGTAAAACAAATGCAGGCTGAAGCTGTTTTCTCTCACCTGGGTAGAAGGCGCAGGAGGCAGGATATGATGCAAAAAAATACGCTGCAGCAATCATAGTGTTGTGTTAAGATGGCCAGTTCATAATTTAAGACATTTAGCTGCAGCATTACATTTGAAGCCTGTACGACACACCACTACAAACCGCACCCACGACCAGTACAAGGCAAACCCAGCCACAGGATGGTTAGTTGAACTTTGCTTCAACATGACATTGTAGTTAATAAATATGAGGCTAAATGTAGCAATAATCCACTTTATTCCTATACCGTAGCCCCCTTTATTTTAACCGAACACTCCATGGCTAGCTAAATGCTAACTTAGTATTTTCTTCTGGGCTTCAGCTTCCAGGTCAAGGGGTGAAGGGGGCTGATCGTGCAGGTATGGTGGGCAAGTCATGTAGCTGCTGGTCACGTAGCTGCTCCAGCCACAGCCATTCCAACTCTGTGTTTTGTTTCGTAATTTGGTCATTAAAAACTGAATGCCTTGCTGTTCCTTGAATTTGTCTGGCAGTTTTGGTGTCAGCCCTTACCGAAAGAAGTTCCTGAATCCCCTCATCACTCAAGTTAGACATTTGCTTTGCTGTTTTCATTTAAATGACCCTTTTTCTTCACCCTTGGATGTTTGTGTTCTTCCAGTTTCGCACCAGTTGTTTGATAGAAATGTCATCAACATGTCCACTCGTTCACTGTGAATTCTCCTGACAATGACCTGCTCCATTCACACATGGGCTCAGTCGGACATTACATGGACTTTGTACTAGGGAGCTGGCAGAGTAACGCCTGTTTCATAACCGGTCCAACTTATTCAGACATTTGCATTCTCACGTACAAGTGCTCCAGGTTATGTCTAGATAAGTTCAAGGTTACAGTGCATGTATGAAAGGGGCTTAATCCCTCCATAAATCCTCCCTTTATTAAGGTTAAAATATGAGTTTTTTGCTTAAACTGTTAAAAAAGAGGCATTGAGAGGTAATTTTGTGTGAGACTTAGAGATGTATGTCCTAACATTTAGCCTATCTTAATTATTTAAACGGGTTGGACATTATATTAGATGAAGTTCTCTCTAAAACATGGCCATTTTAATCTTCATGAATGTAGGGTTTATTGCAGGATTCTTAAATTAGACTGTACGAGTTTTATTTAGCTGTACCTAATTAACTGACACCAGAGTGAATGTAACCTCCATCTTGTATTTCTTGTGTTACCTGTGAACCCTCTGCCCTCCCAGGCCCAGGGTAGTCTATCCAGTGATGAGCTGCGGGTTCACCTGTCTGTCCCCTCGGACAACGTGGTCATCAACAACACACACAGCTACTCGAGCCGCTACCAGCGCATCCACACTTTCCCTGACGACCGCGACCATGACAGAGAGGGAGAAGGAGAGTACCAAGAGCCCATCGCTCTGCTGCGGCCTAGGGATCACAGAGACAGCACAGGTAACCTACAAACACAGAGTCATGGAGTGCATTCATATGACAGTGTCTCTTTTGTTTCTCTCGGAGTGGTTCGGAAAAAAAAAAAAAGAAGAAGACATTTAGTATATTAGCATGACATTGTACATGCTGACATCCAGTAAAACATACCACATGTTAAATACATGTTGACAGGGACTGATCTATAGTCAACCACACACAATTGGCATGGAGTCAGTGGGAATTGTGAAACAATGCAACATTCCATATGTACATAATTTAAATTTCTGCAAAAATGTATGCGGTTTGTTGGGACTGCTTCGTTTGCGTGCCTGTGTTGGTGCTTTTGTAACCCTCCGTTGGTTGATGATATCAATAAGCAAACTCATGTGCAAAGAGGAAGCAGCAGGGGGAAAAAAAATGTGGCATGCATATCAAGAAAACAATGGTATTCCAATGTATTTCACCACACCAAACACAAGTAAATCAAACCAAACACCCCGCGAGGAAGAGTGTCTCCAAGAAGATGCACAGCGTGGAGGGGAGCACAAAAGAGCTATTGTTCTGGGAAAAGGGAAGAAAAAGAAAAGAGGGAGGAGAAAAGAGGAGTAAAGAGAGAGAAAGCATTCCTTCACTTGCAATGCACCACAGGAGGTCTGCATGCCGCCTTTACGAGGCGCCTGTGTGAGTTTGAAATAACACGAGTAACAGAACATTATTTCATCCACTGGTTTTTGTTGTGTATGTAAGACTTGTGTTAACTTTGCCTGTTCTTGCTATGCTCCATCTGTTCTGTGCTCCATGTGTCAGTGCAACCCCTCCTCCTCCCATCCTCCCATTGTTTTATAATGGATATGCTAACAGTGTCATGCTAATGGTTGTTATTGTGTTTCGTTGTGTGTGTGTGTGTATTTTGTGTCACGTGCCACTTTGTACAATCCATACGATCCATATTATGGTTCCTGCGTGTACCCCGCCTCGTCCCGTGCGTGTTTGTGTGTGTGTATATGTTTACGTGTGTGCCCTCCCAGCCTTGCTGTTAAACAACCCAGCCTATCACCTGCTCCTGTCAGATCACAGGAAAAGTTCGAGACCTCTTGTCGTCTCCAGCCCCACTCAGGCTCAGGAAAAGAGCCTCAATGTGCCCCAGGGTAAGAGACCTCGGACCGGGCCAGCACAGTCAGGAGGGGGTCCTACCTCTCTGCCTGCCTACCTACCTGTCTGTCTGTCCAGGGCTGGGGCTTTTGAAGTGCTCTCACCATCACCACACAAATAAATGCTTCTGGGAGATAATTAGTCTCTTCTGCATGTATCTGACCCTCATCATCCTTCCTCTAACTCACATAATTAGTCTTTCAGATTCACTTACCACTAAAAATAACTTCGTTTGAAGGGATAGTTTGGTATTTGGGGGATTGTACAAACTTTTTAAACTCATTCAAAGCCTGACAAACTCATAGATGCCTATGTTTAGCCAGCATGGCTCTGTTAACGGCTGTTGGGCTATCACTTTGGTCTAGACTGAAGTACCTCGACAACCGTTGGATAGATTGACCCGAAATTTTATACAAATATTTGTGGTGCCAAGATGAAGCCTAGTGATTCTGGTGATCCCCTGACTTTTACTTTAGCACCACCATTATGTCAAAGTGTAATTTGTTGAATACTTTGGTTTATGACCAAATACCCACAAAGCTAATGGGGGCTTTGTACTTGTTTACAGCTTATTAACAAATGTTAGCATGCTAACGTCCCCCCTGCTAAACAAAAACATAAACAATGTCAGGATGTGAGGATGTTAGCATGCTAATATTAGCATCAACAGCATCTCTGTGCCTCACAGAGCTGTTAGCATGGCTGTACTTAAACTATAGTCTTGTAGCGTGGTGCGGGAATCCTAAAACCTGGAAATGAGTTGGCATATCAGCACTCTCAGTTCGCTCGTCTCTAGGTCAATGGATTTTTATTTAGATGCCTGAAATCATGCCTGTGGTTTACACAAGCTTGAGAAATTTTCACGTGTTGTTCTATGACATAAAATGCGTCAGTAAATACCCCACTTGTGAATTTTGAAGCTTTTTCGTATCTGTTGCTAACAAGTGGCTAAATGAGATTACAGACTGTCATCACGCCGAACATGACCTCACAGCCTCGTGGTGGCGACGCTGAAGTCATGCGATTGTGGTGTAGTTTGTTTATAGCCTAATATTAGCTTTTTACCTCTGCCGCTTGCATTTGCTTAAAATCATGGAAGTAGTGTGCATTTGTGAAGATTATCTTGCTGAACAAAACATGTGAGTATCATAAACATTTGTCTGCCACAGAGCTGCGATAATCCAAAACCCAATGGAAAATCCCACTGGCTTTATGTCGAGAGAACCAGGGCAATGCTGAGTTCCAGATTGGCCCACAAATAAACGTCATCCCTGCAGCACTATTTTGTCTGTAATACACTCAGTGGTGTGTTTAGCTTCAGTCTGATATTGTGTGTGTGAATCTGTGGAATCACAAAGGCACTACTTTAAAAAACAGACCATACTGTGCAGGGATCAGTAGTTAGTAGGACACGTAAAGACCTGGTGTCAAAATGTTTTCTTTAATATTTTTATAAGCACAGCATCAATCTTAACAGTTGGATCAAACTGTGTGTGTGCATCGGGTCAGAAAGTTTCTCATCATCATCATCATCATCTTCATTATCATTTTAACAAAGGTGTAACAACTTAGTATTCAGCCACACTCCCCACAAGTCTTTGACTTATGTGTGCTGTCAGAGCTTCGTGGAAGCTGATTGTGTTGAATGTTAAGTTGTTACACCTTTGTTAAATTAAAACTTTAAATTTCATCTGTAAGTACAGCGGTAGATTCTAAATTAGTTTAAATGTAGATAGAAAAGATTCATACAATGTCTCAGGGAGACTGACTCTTGAAAAAAGTTTCACTCATCCATCTCAAGAAGTTTAATTATATTTTTCTGATTCTGATACCTGCTACATGATCTAATAGACGTCCAGGAATTAAGCAGGAGAAGGAGTAATTTTAGGCACTGCGAGGCAGATCCTCAGCATGTGTTGTAGCCAAGGTTTAACTATCTAGTAAAGACAGCAGTAACTTTTGTCATATTTTTTATTGTTTCAGAATCTATTTTTATATATATCTCTTTAACTCTTCGCCTGTTTTTATCATCATGTGTTTTATTGTGTTAGGTTTATTATTTCTGTTTGAAGCTTCTGTTCTGCACAGAATTTTGTGAAGTTTAGTTTTTCAAAAGCGTTGCACAAAGAGGTTTTTTTTTTACCATCCAATGAGACTCCCCTCAAATCCAAACTATCCCTTCATAACTAGCTGTCTGGACTTGTGATAGCATGTGACTCTTTCACTTACAGACGTCATAAAGCAAAACAAAGTTGTTTTTAATGACACAGTTCTTCTAATCTCTCCATTTCATCCACCCTGTCTGTCTCTTCCTCCTCTCTTCAGCCTGTGGTTTGGACATGGAGAAGGGTTTCCCCCTGACTCAGGAGGAGCCTCCTCCCTACCCTGGCTCCCCTCCGTACCCCTCCCTGTCTCCTCCTGTGTCCCCCCCACTGCCTCCCAGCGTTCCTCATTACGCTGAAGCAGACATTGTGAGCCTACAGGGAGTCAGCGGTAACAACACCTACGCCGTGCCCGCCTTGGCCTCCTCAAGCCCCGGTGCTGACGCCGCCCCGCTGCCAGAGCTGCCGCGCCAGTGTCTCATCTTCAAGGAGAAGCTGGGAGAAGGACAGTTTGGAGAGGTGAGAGCTGACCTGAAAAATGTGTGTGTGTGGGTGGAGGGAGGGGTAATTGTGCTTTAATAATGTCTGTGTTTATTTGGTGAAAGGTGCACCTGTGTGAAATTGAAAACCCTCAGGACCTTCCCAACTTGGAGTTCCCCTTCAATGTGAGAAAAGGTCGCCCTCTTCTGGTAGCAGTGAAGATCCTGCGCCCAGACGCCTCCAAGAATGCCAGGTCTGTAACTTCATACACAGCCGGGCTCGGCTCCAGTGTGGTTCACAGTTTTTCTTTCCACTTTTACAGCTTATCTCCTCTTCGCCCCCTAACATATGTGTTCAGTGAACTGCAGCATTTCCACCAGCTATTAAATTTCTGCAGTTTCAGGGTGTATCTAGAGGTGTAGCCCAGAAATTGTTGTCAGAAACTCTGGTTGACCTCCTGGAGAAGAAGTCTAGGATTATTTTTTGAGGAATGTACCATGTAACACATATTTGTTTTAGACTAGGCTGTAAAATCTTTCTGCTGAAATTTGACTTTCCATATGACATTTGACCTCCAGAGGGCAGAATGTGAATTTCCAAACAAATCCAGAGCACTCAGCCGTGCCATACAATGTGTTGGTAATCCACCTGTCAAATACAAGTCCAAATATTTTCTCACATTTTAGCCGTGAATCATTCCTTCAGCTCTTAAGGAAAAAATATCTGGACCTCTGAGGTTTTGTGGATGTTTGACTCTTTTCACCAACTGCTTGTTTACTTTGGCTCTTTGCCCTTTTGGCTCTGGGGCAGGTACAGCTCCTATCTTGTTGAGCGTTCGTGCTGAGAGGGGCTGTCCACAGGTTTTTTATGGGAGGTTAGTGAGAGCTGGAGCAACACAAACATATTGACCAGCAGAACAAATCAGTGTAGAAAGCCACCTGGAGCTGCACGCTGGGGATGTTGATTTTGGAGATTTACTTTTACATTCGACCTAAAATCAGCATGTTTGACTCTTTGTCCTTCCTGTGTGATATCTCTTCATCCCTCTGATATATTTTACCCATCCTTTTTATCATGGTAGGAACGACTTCCTGAAAGAGGTGAAGATCCTGTCTCGCCTGAAGGATCCAAACATAATCCGTCTGCTGGGAGTGTGTGTGAGCAGTGATCCTCTCTGTATGGTCACTGAGTACATGGAATGTGGAGACTTGAATCAGTATCTGTCTCACCGAGTGCTTCTGGATAAGACAGGGCCTTCACACAACACCCCGACCATCAGGTTAGCCAGACGTGTGCACACACACATTGCACATGTGCACAGGTATAAAAAGAATCTAAAGCTATAATTGATGTATTTATCATTCCCTACATGTGTCAACTTTTCTCCCACCTCAGTTACCCTGCTCTCATCTCCATGGCCAGCCAGATTGCATCGGGAATGAAGTTCCTCTCCTCCCTCAACTTTGTGCACCGGGACCTGGCCACACGTAACTGTCTGGTTGGGGGTGAGAGGGGTGAGTGCGGAGAGGACCGGGGCGGTGAGCGTCACATCAAGATAGCTGACTTTGGCATGAGCAGGAACTTGTATGCTGGAGATTACTACAGGATCCAGGGCAGAGCTGTGCTGCCAATACGCTGGATGGCCTGGGAGTGTATACTCATGGTGAGAGGACAGAAGTGTGTGTGTGATGGTTGCTATACTATAGATTTTATTGTTAATCAGTTATGCTGATTTACATTGACAATACTGGCGGGGTGGTATTTAAAAAAAAATTCTAGGAGTAGTAAAGTCCTACAGAAACAAGTCAAATTTGGATAAAAAAATCAATTATACCTAATTCCATTTCATTACCCAAAATAAAAGGGAATCTGCTGCATAATCAAAAGCTTATGATTTCTTTCCCCTTTTTCAATTTGTATTACCAAAACATTTCTGTATATGCAACAACAGGAGCTTGTTTACTGTAAACTTAAGTAGTCCGTGTAGCAGGAAATACTAATTTTAGTCTAATTTTAGTTTCACAGCATGAACTCCTTCTGCTCCTTTGAAAAAAGTTGACACAAATATAAAGACAGAAAACAAGTGGAGATAAATGCACACTGGGATAAAAAAAAAAAAAATCTGAAAATCTGTAAATTCCAATAATGATTCTCATGTGTAAAAGCAATTCAGTAAATGTGTCATCCTTAAAACAATTTGTCCTCCTATGACAATCATCTGGATAATAATTTTCATACTGATGGATATTATGATATTGAAAATGACAGTGTCTGTCTGTGTGATTGTTTGCTCTCAGGGTAAGTTCACTACGGCCAGCGATGTGTGGGCATTTGGGGTCACTCTGTGGGAGATGCTGAGCGTTTGTCAGGAGCAGCCATACTCCAACCTCACAGATGAGCAAGTCATTGACAATGCTGGGGAGTTCTTCAGAGACCAGGGCAGACAGGTACAAAACAGAGTCTTTGATTCTCAGTCCTTGCTCAGTAGTTTATTCAGATACTTACACATACTCTGTTCCTACTGATAAAAGCTGTCCTTCAATTTTCTGATCTGTTTTCATATTAAGCTCATAATGTAATAAATGCCACAAACAACAGAGAACAAACTCATCATTAACTGTTTAGAGGTTTATGATCTCAGAGGATCTCTAGTGGCTGGTCTTTGGGCCACACCTCTTATTCATCTGAGCATTTAGTGGAATATGACAAATGTTGAAATCATAATTCTTAAAGAGACAGTTCAACCCAAATCAAAAATATGTAATTTTTTTTTTTACCTGAAGTGTTATTTATTAATCTAGATGTTTTGGTGTGAGTAGCTGAGTGTTATCATAGTAGCTGAGTGTGTGATATCATTCATAGAGGTGTCTGCCTTCTTTCCAGTATAATGGAACTAGATGACACCCAGTTTGTGGCGCTCAAATTCCGAAAAATACATTTGAAAAACACAGCAGAAATGTCTCTTTCCAGAAATCATGACCTGGTTACTCAGGATAATGTACAGACCTTGTTGTGAGCAGTGTCACGGAGAAGCTATTTATTTCCAGCTAACTACACCTGCCAACTGTATCACTGCGCCCATGGAAGCATGCATCTACTCATGGACGAGAGGCTCGTGCTCATGAGATGTAGACGTTATGGCGTCCTCCTCGGCTGAGCTGTAACATTAGCTAGCTCATTGGTGCCAGGTGAGCTAGAAGTAGATGCACACTTCCCTCTGCGCAGTGATATAGTTAGCAGTTGTAGTTTCAAAAGTGGAAATAAGATAATTCCTCCATGAAGCTGCTCACAACAAGGTCTGTGGATTAAATGAGGAACTGTGTCATGATTTCTGGAAAGAGATATTGCTGCTGAGTTTTTCAAAAGGGTTTTTGGCACTTTAACCACCACAAGCTGAGTGCCATCTAGTTCCATTATACTGGAGAGAAGGCAGAATGATCTCTCCAACACTCAGCAACTCACACCAAAACAGTCTAGATTAATAGATAGTGCTACAAGCAAGGGAAAGAATATGTATGACTGATTTTAGGGTGAACTGTCCCATGTTAATCTGCAGGAAACAAACCGTGTTTCACCAACAAGAAGTGAAATTAGTGATAGTCTTGTATGATAAAATAATTATTCATTTCATAGTTTAAACCTGGTAGGCTTTATCACACAAAAAAAATGTATTTAAAAAGGTCTCCCTAATAAAATGGTCTCTTGCTCTCTCCCTCTTGCAGGTGTATTTGAGCAGGCCAGCTGTGTGTCCTCAGGGTCTCTACGAGCTTATGTTGAGCTGCTGGAACAGAGACTGCAAGCTCCGCCCGTCCTTTGCCGACATCCACTCCTTTCTTACTGAGGATGCCATGAACATGGTGTAAAGAGAGAAACAGCACCACGACAAAGGCAGCGTTAAAGAGGGGAAACGTTTTGTACGTTTATGCAGCAATGCTACGGTGGGAATGTGTGGTGGAGGTGCTGCACAGGAGAGGCAGATGAGAAAAGAGAGTGGGTTGCTCACTTTGATATTTGTACTTTTTTGGGTGGCTGGGGCTGAGACACCGCTGGTTCGGTTTATTTCCACATCAGACCCCCGATCCCAAATCCAACTCCAGCTTTAGACAGCTAACAGTCTGAGCTACATTTCACAGGTGGTGGGTGCAGTCTGCATAGGAACTTTCTCTCTTCTCAGTTACTTTAACAGACAAGGAGGGTTTGTGTGACTGGTGATTAAGTGCCGTGGAGTTAATGACACAGGAAGCTGCAGAGGCTTAATGACAGAAAATACTCCAAACTAGGAAGCTGGCAAATGAACGGTTATTAAGTTTCATTACTTTTAGTTATCCATGTTGTTGAATGCTACATTTAGGGTTACAGGTGATGGTGCATAGGACACACAAACTTCTCTAGACAGCACACCTATGGGTCAAACATGAAAGTGCACACACAGGGATTGTCTTAGTATTTATATCAATCAATCAATCAATTTTATTTATAAAGCCCAATATCACAAATCACAATTTGCCTCACAGGGCTTTACAGCATACAACATCCCTCTGTCCTTTGGACCCTCACAGCGGATAAGGAAAAAAGTATGTATGTATAGGCTACTGTACACGTTAGTCTAATGCAGTATGATTACTCCACACTTCAGCCCCTTTTGCCCATCTAAGACAAAAAATGATAGTTCTGTAAAAGTCTATGAAAAGATTCAGACATGGCTGATTGCTGTCTAGAACATGAGTGATCTCACCATGTTTGCCGACCCCTCAGCAGTCCTCTGTCTCAACCCCAAAACCGTACACGGTGACCCACGTCCATAGCTGTAATTCAAAGGACTAATGGTAAATGATGTGGACCAGACAAGAGCAGCCCCCTTTATGCAATGCATCAAGTTAGCTCTCAATCACCGCCCACCCCATTGTAGTTGAAAAGCCCAAGCAGTTTTTGAACCCCATCGTAGAGCCACAGAGAGAGGAGCTGTGTCCCTGGTGCCAAATGGACTTCTCAAACCTGAGGAAACAGGCACAGAAGAGGAGGATCTGCTGCTGCCGGCGATAGGCGACCCACAAACTGGAACAGCTTTTCCAAGCAGAGAGACAATGCTGCCAGCCGGAGCAGTGGACGGGACATCTTCAGATGCGCCTGCTCAGGTGTTTTGGCAATTTCTTTTGTATCTGGCTGCAACCCAGACACAAAGGATAGACGTAAAATTCCACAACCAGCTGCACTTTAAATCCTCCATGCATATCCCCGGCCCTGATGAAACTCTTCTCTGTGAGGGGGCCTGATATGATTCCTGTTGATGTGGATTCTTATCACTTGTAGTGATTTCAGTTATTTGCCAAGGGAGATAAAAATTCAGGACAGTCTGTCTGCCTTGTTAAATCCTCCCCCACAAGGCATTGCCAACCATGAGATGTAAAATATTATCTAAAAAATGGAATGGCACCATCAGTTCATCTCATTTTAATTATATAACAACCTTTTGTTCGGTGTGTCAAGACATGTTTACTCATCGAATAATCAATCTTTGCTCATCTAATTGCATTACTGTACTCTAAAAACACACAGTTAAAGGGTAATTGAGTTTTTTCCAACCTGGAGCCTATTATATCATGTTTTTGAGTCTGAGTGACTAATGGGAACAACAATTTTGAAACTGGTTCTGTATTAAGTGACCACTAAGGGCATTTGTGCACCATCTATTTAGGTCGACTAAAGTGCTTGTTTTTTCAATTAACAGGCGGCGAAAGGATCCCTACAAAGGACATCCTTTTTGTTAAAGAGTTAAATCATTTTTGCTTAACCAGAAACAGCCTCGAAAACACTATCACCAAACCCACCAGACTCCATTTAAATAAACAGTAATTCTGTCATTTTAAAACACACTTTATTCATAGTCCTGGTTAGGTTGAAATAAACCCTTGATTCACCTAGTTAAATGTGAAAATATGCTGACTCTATGCATGGTAAAATTAAGCCCTGTGTCCACTGAGCAGTACAGTTTAGTTCGGTATGCTTTTTTTTCCGTTTCCACTGTGAAAAGTTTTGGATTGTACCAATGGAACTGTTCCGCACTGTCCCATTTTTGGTCCCCCCTCTGTTGGGGTACCTAGCACACAGATCTGGTACTAAAAGGTGGAGCTGTGAACACTGCAGACTGTTGATTGGTCAAAAGCGGACAGTCACTCTGCTCAGGGCTGAGTTGTGGCTGGTTTTGAGGCTCATGTAACCGCTGTTCATACAGTAGAGACCATCAACACACCTTAAATTTCAATGTGACAATTTTGACCATTACTTTAGTTTTTGTTATGTCTCTTGGATGACATACACTTTCAGTAATGAGTGGATCTACAGGCGTTTAAAGATATATACTAATTTCAACAAGATTATGTGAACTGCATATATTCTACCCCGTTGTGCGGACAATAAACGAGGTGCAGACAAATAAAGGAAGAAATACTGTGAGTGCTGGACGGAGCAGTGAGTGACAACAGCCCCACCCACATTTAAAGGTACTGTTTGCAGTGGAAACACTAGGGTCTAGGTACCATGTCTGAAGGGTTACTTTTGGTTACAAAGGTACCATACTGAACATTTTGGGTGGAAATGGGACTTTTGTTTTTAATTTAAATGGAGTCTGGTGGCCTTGGCGATAATGATTTTGAGGCTGATTCTGATTAAACAAAAAGGATCCTTCTCTTTAGCAAAAAAGGTCCATCTCCTTTGGGATCATTTCCATAATGTTTCAGACACTTAAAATAATAATCAGAGCCTGTCTGTGCCAAAAACAAACACTTTTAGTGGACATTCACTGACAGTGCACAAACGTCCTAAGTAGTTATAATGCAGTCTGTTTCACCGCTGCATCTGTCTCACTTACAACTGGACCAATTTCAAAAAAATTATTGTTCCCATTAGTTACTTAGACACAAAACACAGGAAAATTGGGTCCACGTGGAAAGATACCAAAATTACCCCTTAAGGTTTTACCCAAATAGGAAATTCTGGGAGTCCTCATTTTAGTGTGAATGTCAACATCAACCTCTGCATTATCCCATGTTAGTACATTAAGCTGACCACGGTAGAATCAATGCTGTCTCTACCTTACTGATTGTATAGCACTGTAAATCAGTCCTCATCAAGATCATCAAGTAATAACATGTTTACTGATTGTGAATGGTTGTGCCATTTGAATCATTTTTGATACACTGTAGTTCAACTAAACCCATATTTTTATATATACTGTATGTACTTTGACACTTCTCGATGTCTGATTTTGTCCTTTTGTGTCTTTGAAGTTGAGCATAATAGTATGTACATATTTTAAGGACAGAATTGTAATTTCCTTTACTAATATATGGAAAACTCTTTGTTACATTTGGGGTCTTCTGTATCTCTGTAGAACGCTTGCTACCTTGATGCCATTGTAATTCATCGTTGTCTATTTTTGTAGATGTTTTAATAAAGTTAACCTTTTCAAATAACTCAAGATGTACTGTCGGGCTGCGATGAATGATAATTTCAACTATGGATGGATTTTGTTCGATAAAAAATGAGTAGTTTAAAAAGATGCCATTCATTATTTCCAAGCTCAAATTGCTTGATTTGTCTGACCAACTGTGCAAAGATGTTCAATTCACAATGTGGAAAAAGGACTATACTGCCTGATGAGGGATTATAAGGTTGAATGGACTATAGAGCTTCCAGCTGGTGTGTACAAAAAAGGATCCAAGAGCCATTTAATCATTAAATGACAGTGGAGGGCAGGTGAATGGATGAATTTCTCTGTACAGTATACAAACATAGATCAATACATTACCATGCATACTATAACCAAGTATAATAAATAAAAAGTACATAAGTTTACTCTATTAAAGGTACAGTGTGGGGGGGTATACTGGCAGGAATTATATATCATATGTATGTTTTCAGTTGTGAATAACCTGAAAAAACAATTTCTGTTACCTTAGAATGAGCAGTTTATTTGTACGTAGTGAGCAGGTCCTCGTCCATAAAGTCTGCAATGTTGCATCGCCATGTTTCTACAGTAGCCCAGAACGGAAAACCGGGCTAGCAGCCCATCTCCAACATGCTGAACAGCATTAGAGAATCACTGATTTGTAACGTGAAACTGCCTTATTCTGCGTTTTTACTGATTTAATAACCTGGTCCATTTGTTTCGGAGAGGAAGAGACCTCTGTGGATAACTAGGCTCCCAATAAAAACCTCCTGAACAATAAACAAGGAAGGAGGGAATTTAAAAGATAGAAGTTTCAGCTGATTGCAATCTGCAGTCCTCATCACTAGATGCCACTAAATCCTGCTACATCTGACTGTTGCTTTAATGTATCCGCTTTCTAAAGAGGGAATCCGAAAGCCTTCGTCAGGATCCTACCTAAAAAGAAAACAGAAGTAAATACGACACTGAAAAATATACAACCATTTTCTCCTCTTGCATTACCTACTGAGTTGGAATTGATCTCACAGGTAAGTATATCACACAGCTCAAAATCAATAGGCCTATCAAGATCTGTTGGAATGTCAGATACACACATTAAATCAGGAGTGGTGTGGCAGCATGGCCTCTGACTAAGGGTCTGTACATACGGTCTAGTGGTGTGGCAGCATTGTCACCAACAAAGGATTTGCACAGAGCACACATAGCCTTTGTAATTTAACTTCCCCTTCTTTATACTCACCCACTGTGCATTGACAGGAACATTTCTCCACCCACTCCTGGTCTCACAAAGATTTTGAACACAACATAATACATTGAAAAGCAGCAAATCTTCTTTAATGAGTATTAGGGGTGTAATTATGCATTGATTTGGATTGAGATATCGACACAGTGATCAATGATCTGATATCCTACATGCAAATTGAAAATGTCACAGTCTGCTTCCCTCTCTCACCTGCTCCTGGTAAATTTCCATTCACCTGCACCCTGCAAGCCACCCACAGCCCCCTCATCAAGACAACGCCTCTCACCTGCCTCCACAGCTGCAGCTCATCAGCCAATCAGCCTGGTATAAAAGCCTCTCCAGCACACACACTCTTTGCCACATTGTTCTTTGACTATGCAGGACTGTCCAGCATTCAGTCTCAGCTTGAGTCCCGGTTACCGACCCTGCCTGCCTCTGACCCTTCTGTTTCCCGGTAAACTCACCAGCCTTCTGCCTCTATGTCTCTGGTTTCCGTCTGGCTGTGTGGTGCTTTCCTGCTACGACGTTTCAGAGTGAATGTTCCCTCTTTCCCTGAACCCAGAGACTGTGTGTTGGCTCTTGGCCCAAAGAATGAACTATCACCTTAATGTCTTGGTCAGCTCAAGCTTCTGTTTATTTTGTGCATGAATAAAGGTCATTACCAACTGTCACTGAGTGCTGCATTTGGGTTCAGTCACACCCGTTACAGAAAACATAGATATGTATCGTCAACTAAGATACATGCTTTTCATTTTGAAATTCCCTTGGCACTTCTGTGTCACCATTTCCGTCAAAGCACAGCTTATTCCTTAACATTCAAATACTGCTAGTGGTCTATTTTGAGGCAGATAATGGCAAGCAGCCAACAAAAACACAATGAGCATATTTACTGATATTGTCTCATATCCACAATGGAAACCTATTGTGGCAGACTTCATGATATCACCAAAAATTGTAGAGATTCATAGAGAAGAATGTACATATCGCATTGTGATGAAACTTGTGAGTTACACCCCTAATGATTATTGGAATATTAATACAGTTGCTGACCAGTTAATTTCTAGACTGCTCCACGTGGTCTTAAATCAAACTTCAACCATTTCAATTAAGTACTTTGATTATGAATAAAACAGACAGCGAAAGGTTTCAGTGATTAAACCATATTTTATTGTCTACATCATCTTACAACATTTCACTACAGATAAATCTCAGATATTTAACTTGTATAGAACTTCAAAGCTATGTAATAACTACTTATGTCAACTTAAAGTACAGACATGCAACAACACATCTTTGAAAGGAAAGTAAAAGATTAGTCACGAGAACAAACACAAGTAGAAACTGATTTGGCTTTCATCTAAGACCTTCACTAATGACGGCCAATGGCTTAGCATCAGTTGGATATGAGGAAAAGTTCCCTGACAGAGAAGTGTAATAGGCCTAAGTAAAGAAGTCAACTTGACTTGACCACTGAGGAGTTCTGACCAGGCACTTGGCGATAACAAAATGCATAAGGCTTGGCAGCTGGAAAACTTTTGGCTGTTAGAGAAGAGTCTGAAAAAAGGATCACAAGTGCTGAGCTGAGCAACACCTTCCCATATGCGAAATCTGTTAAAATCTGTAACACCCAGCATCACATTTTCATGGAAATCAGTACACTAAACAAAGAGACTACAAAAACATACTATCTCCCGTATATCAGTTTAAACTCCAGGCAGCAAAATACACCAAAGCAGCAGGCAGGTTATTTAGTTAGTTAGTGATGGTCCTTTTTTTACTCTCGACATACAAAAGACTCTTGAACACACTGCAGCAAAGTCAAATGTCAGTGTTGTTTAAATCACCGCAACATACTTTCATTGCTTTCAACAGGAAATCCCTTCAACTCATTCCCATCGACCACATCCTTCCCCTTCAGTCTGAGACACAGAAAATCTTCCACTGATATGATTTTGGGCCCTGCAACTTAACTCGGTTATTACAAAAGAGACATGGAGTAAACTGTCATCACCACAGCTGTCTCTTTATTATGGACTAGTGGACAGAGATCAAATAATCATGAAGCGAGGCTGT